GCCCTTCCCACCGCCTGCCTATTCTGGACGTGGCAACAACACATAACAGCAAGTCATGGGAGAAGGGATAATTGAACAGTATCTTTCATGGATCTATGATGAGCTATGATGAGCTATGATGATCCATGATGAAGGGTTATTGCTGGGGCATGTTGCTGCAAGTTATCCGTGGAAGGAAAGCGACGCGAAGTCGAAGCACGTGGAAACATTGCCATCATTAGGCGTTGGCGTTTGACCGGTGTCTGGCTACTTGAAGGCGGCGCAACGAGTCATGAGATAGGTCACACAGCGACGAGTTTAGGACATGAATCAAGTGCGGTATTTCTATGTAGAGATGGAAACCATCGTGCATGTTCCGAAAATTACATTGAAAAGGCTGCCAATACTCCAGCTGCCGTTTTCGAGGCCGTATTGCCGCCGAGGCCTCATGCTGTGATGACGTTTTCTTCGTGCAAACCTTTGGGGCTTTTGGTGGGCGGTGCTTCCGATGGGCAATGAGATCTCCGTAGCTTTCTGGTGCAGTGAACACCTGGATTTCGCCCGTCTCTCTTTCGATTACGTAGAGCTGCAGCCCCACTTCCCTGCTCGTGAGTAGTTCGCTAGGCGGTCTCTTTACCACAATTCAATTCTGGCACCAAACCAGCGACAGACAGCAAATCAACGGAATGGGGAGTTGAAGACGACCCAATGCTAGCGACTGTCAGAGCTCCTCGGGCGCCATGACGCTAGCCCTGTGGGCGCTTGAGATTGAGAACGTACCTTGCATGCTGTGTGATGGGATGAATGGTGATTGACGAACCCCAAAGCCCGCCATGTTCCGCGGCAATGCGGGTGGAGCCTGTCCTGCGTTGCGCCTAGCCGGTCCAGATGCTTGGAGCCGCAGCCGTTTTTGGCCTTTCGGTTTGTCTACCGGTACGATGGTGGCCGTTCTTTCTGTTCTTTCTGAGTGCCGTCGGTAGGGAAATCGAGTGGGCCCCTGCAGCTTTGTGGGAGACGAGCCCGCCGAGGCCCGGTCTCGGTCCCGGAAAGGGGGTGGGTTTCTCCAGCACACATCCGAAAACAGCGTTGAAGCAACAATCGACCACTGGCTGCGGCGTAGCCCGTGAAGCCCCTGTACAATGACATTCAAATTCGGCTTTCCGCCGTAGATGGCCCCGACTCTCTCGTCTGACGTAAGGGTAGGTCTTTGGCGACGAGATACACACTTGGATCCCACCGCCGACGGAGCAGGACGTAGCGCTGTGCAGCGGTGCAGATCCGTAGCAGCTCGTGGTTTCTTGCTAATGGATCTCTGACAGCAACCGATTCGCAGTAGACGCACGGCGAAGAAAGTGCGTCCATCTATTGGGGGGAATTCATTTCTGGCGCTGGATGCCATGTCACCAACGACTGGGAGACTGCAAATGGGAAAAGCAACAAGCCATGGCTTACGGATAAGAGCGCGAAATGAGAGCGTTTGTCGAATGAGTGGATTCGTCGGATTCACCGGCGCTCACGAGTGTAGCTGAACGCCTCGACTGTTTGATCTGAATGCAGGGCTTGCCCATCGTCAAGCAGCAAGCAACTCGATCCGATGGACCCTGTTCGCACGTCCCCCCTTCCTTCCGAGTGTATGTCTCCTCGACCCCCTCAACCACCACACGACCGCATATCTCACGAGGACGAGAGCGCAGGCCAG